CTTTTTTGTTTCAATGGTAAGCGTGCGTCCATGTAATAAGGGTGTAGCCGCTAGAACCTTGACATTAACATAGGCATCATCCCTATTCGAATTAACATGTGCACAACCACATTCAAATTAACACATGATTAACATAAACCTTATTCACCTAAACCAATACCTAATTAACCTAAGCTAAAACTAACATATGCGTGACTACACTCAGGCATGTCCATATTAGAATTAATAAATGAGTACTCTATAGTTAACATATAGCCAAACAATTTAAACAACTAATTAACCTAAATCTAAACATATTTAACATAACCTAACAAAATCATTGCACATTTTTTAGGATCATTGCATAATTAATTGAGTTTAATAAACTATGGCAAAATTAGCACAATCTAGAAAAATCAACCGCACAACGTCTGGTAACTGGTAGTACAAGGTATTATACCTTACCATGGAGGGGGGACGGGCGGACGGCTACGCTTGGCTTTTATCGTGCGCGGCAGGATCGGCTTCTTGTCCTCCTGGCCAGTGTGTGCAAAACAAAACCCAAACAGAAAAAAACTAGGAAAAAATGAAACCGAAACTGATTTTTTTTTCAGGTTTCAGTTTGCAAAACAGGAAACTGTACTCATTTCAGTTTTCGGTTTAAAATCGAAATACTTCGATTAAACCAATGAAAACCAAATTCCCAAATGTTTCCTCGGCCAATCTCTCTTACGTGCTAACCTCTCTCCTTAATTTCTTGTACCATTGCTTGTATATATCCTCCCAAATTCATCAACTAATTACCCGCAAAAAAATCATCAACTAATTTCTTGTAGCTCATAACTGCAATCTACGGTACGTTGTTCTTGTTAATGTACCATTACTCTGGCTAGGCCTACTAAACTACTCCGATGGTGGTGCATCTGGACTGCTGTTAATGAAAGACTAGGTACAAGTCGTCCCTTTCATTAAACTGAATTATCTGTTGAGTTAGACATAAAGAGTGACATGTTTTTTATTTGACCCGTTCTTTATTGACGTATAATGTTTGCATGATCTTTCTAACTACTCCCTCCATTTATTTTTACTCCATACAAGTTTTGTTCTAAGTCAAACTTTGTAAAGTTTAAATAATATTCATATTTTTTGAAAATATGCACACACCGCTGCAAGGAATCATCAATCAAATTATGATTGACGCGGTGTAACATCCCAAATTTTCAATTTGGAATGTTATGCATTAGATCATCATTGCATATCATATTTTTATTTGCATTTTGGTTGATCCTAGAAATTCTACGCAACTCAAAGACCCACGGAGAGAGAGTTGGAGATTTCGTTATTTTCATATTCGAGTTTTTCTCGAATTTTGAAAAGAGGATCGTTTGATTTTAATTATTTTTCCTTGAAATATTTCTTTTATTAAAAATAAAAGAGAGAGGATAAAATAACTTCCTCAAAATAAAGAAATATCATAGATTTAATATTAAAAATCAAATAAGATTTTTATTTGGAGTTTTGTGTCTGTTTTACTTGAATTAGGAAAAATATGCGTTTTTCAAAATTGCATTTTAGGCCGAAATAAATGTTTACCTTGTCCGACCTATTTTTAGAGGACGGGGAAAATTTATTTTAGGATTTTTGGAGTCTGTTTACTATTTCTTTTCTTTCTTTTTCTGCACGTCAGAATTATTTTTTTAAAAAGTCAAACCGACTTCGGGCCGTACCCGGCCAGGACTCTTCGGACCGGCCCCCTTTATAAGCCACAGCCCCGCAGCCCACCAGCCCCACCACCCTAACCCTAAGCCGCGCCGCCGCCGTTGCCGCCACGCCGCACGCCGCCGCCCGTGCCGCCGCCCACGCCGCCGCCGCACGCCCGTGCCGCCACCCCGCGCCGCCCCGCCGTCGTCGCCACCGACTGCTGTCGCCGGAGCCGCCACGCCGCCGCCCGCCGGGATTCGAGGTAGCCGCCGGTTAAAAAAAACGATCGGTTTTATTTCGTAAACCCTAGTTTTTGTTTTTAGATCGGTTCGGTTTATTTTTATCGGTTTAGTTATTTAGCGGACGTTCATCCGTATGTTCGTTTTAAAGAACGGTTTTCACCGTTTAGCCGCAGACATCGAACGTTCGTTCGTTAGCCTGTTCGTCAGTTTTTCTTTTTCTCGAATTTTCCGTGATTATTTTCGATCGCGATTTCTGATCCGATTTTCATTTTAGTATGACTTTTCACTCGTTTATCGGAATCAGGCGATTCAAACGCCTAGAGTTTCGTCTCGAAACCCTCTTTCCGTTTAGCCAACTTAAACAAGTTTTTCGACTGTAAAATTTGACTTTAATCCAGATTAGTAAACGAAGCATGTTTCTTTCGCCGTTTGAGTTTTGTTGCTTCGTTTGATTTGATTTTTTTTGCAAACCGGAGTTCCTTAAGTTGAACTTTCTGGTTAGATCTCTTAATTGAGTTTTACCCGTGCCCTTGCTTGTTTGCTTATTGTATGTTTGTTTGTTTGCGATAGAGTACCCGGAGTGCGAAGCGTGCTACTACGAGTCTCTAGGTTTTGCTGGTCATCAGCAAGGCAAGTAACACTTTGATCATACCTCTTTACTACCTAGTTTTACTGCATTAGATCAATCTTCAAACAATTGCATGGTTAGGATCTGAATTAAATTGTGGGTTGGGAAGTAGCTGAGGTAGTACCTATTCACCTGTTTATTATCAAATCGTGGGAGTTACTACTACGTTATGATTATATTGCTATGCTATGCTCGTAGACGTGGATCGTGTTTGAGAGTATCCATGACAGATGCGAGATTGTTAATTAATGGTTCAACTTAAGGTGGCAACTTGAATACACATCTGGGTAGATTAATTGAGGCACCTGGGGAACCCAGTGATTGCCTGTATTTTTGGAAATCCCGGGATACCGTGTGATTCTCCTATGGACCGTCACTCAGGCTCAAAGGGATCATGATATTATTCATACTAGAAACTTCCGTGTGCAGCCACAAGCTCTTATGGGCTCTAGCATAGTTGATTAAGTCGTGTGAACTCTTACAGTGGTAGACTAGCATATGTAGGGGATGTAGGTGGTACGGTCTACCCATCGTAAGATGTTAACGCTTCTGAAAGACTATGTCTCGGTTAAGGATGGCAATGGGTAGGGTATGGGGCGGGTAGAGCAATACCATACCCATACCCGTGTAGTCAATGGATACAAAATTCTACCCATACCCGTATCCATGGGTACGAAACTTTACCCGTACCCATACCCGACGGGTACCCATACTCATTGGGTACCCAACGGGTAAATCAAACAGTACACAAGTTATCACTATTTTACATTCATCCATAGCACATTTGACAAAAAATATCTCAACTCAATAACTGGTGGACGAGTACTCCCTCCGTCCGGAAATACTTGTCATCAAAATGAATAAAAGGGGATGTATCTAGATGTATTTTAGTTCTAGATACACCCCTTTTTGTTCATTTTGGTGACAAGTTTTTTCGGATGGAGGGAGTACAAGACAACTATCTCAATTCAAATTGACAACTGATGACAACTTTAACATTGAGTCAAATGCTCATGACACATTTCACCAAATAACATCCGCCAAATATGTAACATGTCAGTATAAATGGGTAGGGTATGGGTATATCCATGGGTACAAGACTATACCCATGCCCTACCCATGACTTAACGGGCAGGGTATGGGTACAACCCGTGGGTATAAAATTGTGCCCATACCCTGCCCATGCGGGTACGGTATCCGCGGGTACCTGTACCCATGGGTAAAATTGTCATCCTTAGTCTCGGTCATCCGTTTCTCAAACATCATGTAATGCGAGAAATCAAAGGGAGGAGATCGAGTCTTGTGGGGAAAAGTGCGCAAACCTCTGCAGAGTGTACAAACTAATCATGGTTAGCCGTGTCCCCGATTATGGACATCTTGAGTATCTGGTTCTTGGATTATCATGTTGATCTCATCACTATTTAATTAATTTGATGGTTTGTTAATGATTACTTTTAATTGGGATTGACAGGGAGTTTACCTTCTCAATATTTTTTTCAACAAATTTTGTAGTTAAATAAAACTTATTCCTTTGCAGTAGAGAAAAATTGGCTTTTCACAAAACATATTAACCCTACAGCCTCCACCAGCCATATATGCATTTAGTAATAGCATTATTCTGTTCATTATCCTTTTGTGTTACATTGCCAGCATATTCCATGTGCTGGCCCGTTTTCGGGCTGCAACGTATCATATTGCAGACTTTTCAGTCGATGAGTAAGGAGCCTTAGGTCGTGGTCTTTCACTCAGTGATGTCGTTGGAGTTGATGGACTTACTTTATCTTCCAAGCCTTCCGCTGTTATCGTTTTAGAAGGCCTTAAGCCATATTTATTGTAATAAGTTCTCTTTTGAGACATTCAATGTAATAAGTGTGTGATTGCTACTCTGTTATAAACCCTTCAAGTACTGTGTGTGTCAGCATTACCGATCCAGGAATGACACTTATGCACAGAGATCAGACTGTTTGAGGTCTGGTCGCTACACGCGGTGTAATGGGTAGAAGCAAGTCTAGGTCCTTTTGGTCGTGTATTTCTCCCTCTCTTTAATATAATACAAGCAATCGTCCTGCATGGTTTGAAAAAATATATTTAAAAATATAAACATCAACATATTGAAGACGCACACTATGAAAACTAGTGCCATGACACATCTTATACTACTATCTCGGTCCGGGTTTATTAGGCCCCTTTACATTTTGGGTCCAAGTTTGACCAAGTATTTGACAAAAATATATAAAATATATGCTACAGAAAGTATATTGTTAGATTTGTATTTGAAAAATGTTTTTTATAGTATAACTTTGATGACATATAATTTATATTTTATTAGTTAAATTCATGGTCAAACTTTGGCTCAAAACGAAAGGTGTCTAATAAACCCGGAGGAGGAAGTATTTTTTTGTGTTGCACTCTTACCGTTATATATAATGTTCCGGTGCAGACAAGAGGAGATGCACTCATCTCAAGCCATGGCGCAACAAGAACTAGATGCCACGTACTACTACAATCACCTCTTCATGGCCACCGTCCTGCTACTCCCTATCCTCCTCATCGCCATGTCCAAGCCACGCGAGCACGGCGGCGAGAACCTTCCCCCCGGGCCACGGCGGCTGCCGGTCATCGGCAGCATGCACCACCTCGTCGGCGCGCTCCCCCACCACGCCATGCGTGACATCGCCCGCCGGTACAATGCTCCGCTCATGCTGCTCCGCCTGGGGCAGCTTGACGTTGTTGTGGCCTCGTCAGCCGGTGCAGCGAGGGAGATCATGAAGACCCACGACGCGGTATTCGCCACGCGGCCGCGGACCGCCACCCTCCGCGCCATCACGAGAGACGACCTCGGCATCACCCTTACACCGCACGGCGAGCACTGGCGCCGCCTTCGCAAGCTCTGCGTCACCGAGCTACTCAGCGCGCCGAAAGTCCGGTCCCTCCGGGGATGCCGCGAGGCCAAGGCCGCCGCCCTAGTCTCCTCCATCGTCTCGTCGCTATCGTCTTCCTCGGATCCTGTGAACGTCAGATCCCTCCTCAGCACCTACGTCACCGACGTGGCGGTGCACGCGGTGGTGGGCAACCGGAACGGGGAACTTCGAGATGAGTTCCTGAAGCGCCTCAACGAGGGCGTCATGCTGGCCGCCGGGTTCAGCCTCGCCGACCTGTTCCCATCGTCGCGCCTCGCACGTGCCTTTAGTGGATCGACGCGCCGGCTGGAGGCGATATGCCACGATATGAGCCGGGTCATAGACCACATCATCGAGGACCACCGCACGAGGAGGTCGGCCGGCGCCGGCGGCGAGGAAGAAGACATCGTGGACGTGCTACTGAGGATCCAGAATGACGGTAGCCTCCACGTGCCTCTTGACGATGGAACCATCCGTGCCGTGATCACCGTAAGATCGACCTCCATGCTATAGAACTGCATACATGCACATATACTTCACAGCAATATTTTCAGTGGTTCCTTTCGCATGTTATTTATTTAGTTATTTATATTGTGCTGAAAGTCCGGAAGGGAGGCTAATTCACACGGAAAATGTGCAGTGTCTTTGTGTTTCCTTGGATTATACTTGAAGGATAGGGAAAGAGTTAAATACGCGGGAGATGTCTCAACTTGTCTTGTGTGATCAATTTAGCATCTAAAAGTTGTAAAATACATACAACTGATGCTTGAATTTGTTCGGTCGTGCAAATACGGTGCCTCAATCCGTATCCGGCCGTACGCCCAGCCCACATGGCGTGCGAGTGGCCCACAGGTTAGTGGTTGAGAGCGGAAAGGTGCAGGCACGTGCTTGAGGATTTTTTTAGAAAACCCTCTCACATTTTATTTAATCACGTAGGAAAGCCCCACATATTAGAAAAAAGAATTTGCGTGATTGCATTGTGCGCCCAGGTTGTCCACCAAGCCATACTCTGCTCATTAGATATTGACGAGGTCAAAATGTTTATATTGCATTGCTATGCAAAAAGTAAGTTTGGAGCACGGGCACATTGTGTCATTTTTTTACAAAGTACAAAGAAACGGATTTTTACAGCTAAAAATATTCTAAAATTTTATGTACATGCACATAGAAGTGTAATATATATGTGTAAATTTTGATCAAAATATGTGTTTGTATGTGACAGATAAAAAAGGGGAATACATGAAAAATCAGCTTGGTTCTTTTGGCCAGATTTTTGTATTTTTTTGCAGGGTATAATATAACCTAAATTTGAACGCAATTTGAAAGTCACTTAGAGCATATGCATACGTTTCTGTGTGAAAACAATCAATTCTTTTTGAAACTTTAAGTGCCAGTTTTTAGCCTTTAAAAAACACGCTCAGTTGCTACCATGCTCCAAAAATTTATAATGAGTTTTTGAAAAATGTTCATCTTGCATTACAGAATTGACAACATGTATTTAAAAAAGTTCAACACAATAATTTTGAATAAATGTTGAATATTTTGCAAATTACAACGTTGTCAATTTGTTAATAATTGGGTATTTTTGAAATACAGATCAACAATAATTGTGTATGCTTGTGGTCTAGAATGAACATACATAAATTTACACATAATTTCTAATATATGTTTAACTATTTTAATCCCCATAATATTTTGAAATGTTCATATCTAGTTGTTCAAAGTACACAATAAGGAAGAGAGAAAAAGATAAAACAAAAAACAATTGCATATTGTATTTTTATATGGGAAAACTTACGTGTCATGAAACTAAATAGGAACTTGGAAAAGATAAAAATAAAACTGATAGATAATGTATAAAGAAACTTGCAGAGCGATACATGGAAAATGTCTACATAGGTCTAATAATAGTTGTATAGACGGCATATTTTGGCCGGTTAGCCAGATAGTTAACCAGAAGGTGCCAGATTCTACCCCCCCATGATTTTTTCATGTTATTCCTCGCAACCATACATTGTATTTGAGGCCTTTCCTTCGTGATTAAATAATTAAATAAAATATGAAGGGGTTTTCTACAAAATAATTTCACACACGCGGGCCACCCAAAGTTTGCCCTCTCTCAGCTACTGACAAGTGGGCCGTTGCCACGCTGGCACGTCACGCGGGCTGAAAGTACGCCCGGATATGGATGGAGGCACCGTATTTACATGGCCGGACAAGTTCGAGTACAAGTTTCATGTATTTTACAACTTTAGGCACTAAACTGACTCCACGGAACAAGCTGAAGCACCTCCCATGTATTTAACTCATAGGGAAAGTTGGCCCATCCATCCCCCACCCCCACACCCCGAAATTCAAGGGTGAGAGATTATACTCCCTTCATTTTTGTATACAAGGCCACAAACTCATATTACAGGTATCAAGATAGAAATTAATGCCTACTTAAGTCAATATTGCAAGCTAGTTTTTTTCTCGCTTGACGTGTTAATTAATGTGCATTTTCTCTTCAACACACAACAAGACAACCCTCTCACTCCTCATTGGTTGATTAATGTGGTACACGAAAACCAACCTTCTCACTCCCACATGCATACAGGGGATATTAATGTCCTCGGTTGCTAGTATGAGGCAAACCTCATCAATTTTACCTCGATTGATGTTAGTGGCCTTGTATAGATGCTAGTAATTGTAATTTTGATAGTGGCCATATATACAAAAATGGAGGGAGTATGTTGATTATGGAGTGGGCCTGCATGCCACCACAACTAGCCCTTCCGTTCATACGTGTAATAGGTGGGTGGGTCCATCATGTTTAATTCCATGGCAGCGCGCTGCTATAGTACGTGGGGCGACCACTCTCAGGAAAACGGCATGCAAAAATTTGTAAGGGAATATAGTGCGTGGTCGGAACCTGACTTGTTGTGCGGAACGTTTCGCGCGTTGGGACACTCGCGTGCGAAGGTATTAAATTTAAAGCTCAAACTGATGGAAAAAGGGTGCAATGCACTTATACTTCAGCACATGCATCTTTTAGCCAAAACCTCTCGGAGTTAAGTTCTTTTTTTGTAGGATCTGGTTTCGGGGGGTAGCGAGACCACGGCGACGACACTCCAATGGGTGATGGCGGAGCTCATGCGGAGCCCGGCGGCGCTCTGTAGGGCACAAGCAGAGGTGCGTGGTGCCCACACCAGGGAGAGCCGCGTCCGTGAGGAGGCCCTGAAGGGGCTGCACTATCTGCATTTAGTAATCAAAGAGACGCTTCGACTACACCCAGTGGTGCCGTTTCTCATCCCACGGGAGTGTTTGGAACCCTGCCGTGTCCTCGGCTATGACGTGCCCAAGGGCGCCATGGTGCTTGTCAACGCATGGGCAATCGGGCGGGATTCGGCGAGCTGGGGCACTGATGCCAAGGAGTTCCGGCCAGAGAGATTCGAGGAGGCTGGTGACGCGGCGGCGGCCTTCAGAGGAACAAACTTCGAGCTCGTGCCTTTCGGCGCTGGTAGGAGGATCTGCCCTGGGATAACGTTTGGGCTTGCTGTTGTGGAGCTCATGCTAGCGAGCCTGTTGTTCCATTTCGACTGGGAGCTCCCCGGAGGAGGCGCCGGTGGGCTAGACATGGCGGAGGAGCTCGGGATCACGGCGAGGAGGAAGGGTGACCTATGGTTGCATGCCACAATTCATGTGCCGGCTCCTAATCCATAAATATTCAACCATGGGGTTGTCCATACTCTTTCTTGTCTTCGCACCTAAATAAAATGAGCTGAAGTAGTACGTTTTTAATGCTTCATCATGTGACCCGGGTTCTAAGTTGTTAATTTATTGTATGCGTTTTATTGTTATGTTATAAAAAATTATGTATCGCATGGACTCGATGCACTCTGGTGCTTTGTCATGTTATCTATCGTTTGAGTAAGGCTCTTTTTCTTTAAAGGTCAAAGGCCATATATATTAAGAGCACAAACCCTTAAAAAACATCCTTACAGAAATCGAAAAACGGTTTTGCTAAAGCTCAGCTAGCTGAGTTTTAATTTGATCTCATTCACAGCCACAACCGTCCGATCGTATTGCGTCTAGATTCGTGCTGGGGTTTGGCGATGGTAGGAGCGACGCGGGTACACGGCTGGTTCATTGTTTTCACCTTTTTTAGGGTAAAGACTAGTTTTTTTTTGCGGGAAAAAGACTAGCTTTATCGATCAAACTTCACACAAGGTGGGATACAAAATGGATCATGAGGATGGAGCAACCACACATGTTGCCCCTGATCCAAAGAGTACGAGGATTTAGCTAGTCTATCAGCATCTATATTTGCTAATCTACCTTCGAAAGTTATATTACAATTAAAAGAGGAAACAAGCTCGCTAATCTCCCTGATGATTGGCCCATACAGTCCATCAGCTCCATTCTGTATGTCATGCACAACTTGCTTCACATCTGAAGCTATGATAATATCATGCAGGTGGATGTCTTGTGCCAATGCAAGCCCCTCGCGAATAGCTAACGCCTCCATTGACGCCACACTTGTTACACCGTGAATAACCAGCGCCGAGCTTCCAAGGAAGTTTCCCTCGACGTCTCTGCAAACAGTGGCACAAGCACCTCCCGCATGGGATCTCGCCATCGCCGCATCTGTGTGGATCTGTGCTACCCCTGGCGGTGGTGCTTTTGGTCTTGCGACCACTCTGTTTCCTCCCAAGCGGGCTTCTCTGGGTTTGGGTTTTAGTACTTCCAGCTCTTCGATGAACCTGCTGATGAACTGGTGTGTTGCCACTGGGCTTTGATATATTTGCTCATGAATAGCCTGTCGTCGTGCCCACCAAATAGCCCATAGCATCACGGCCAGGTTGACAAAGGCCGCATGCGATATAGACTCTTTCACCTGGTTGTTAGCATTCGGGTTGTGCCCATTTTCTTGGGCTGTCTTTTCGCGGGCCGAAATGTTTTTTCTCCCCCCACATAGTAGATTTAAGAGAGGAAAGGAGTCGCCAAGAGCAACTAATTAACAGGCGCTTCTTCGGGAGCCTCGCAACGATCAGCGTCATTTGGCGCGCTCCCAACCGCCCACTACGTGTCGCTCTCTGGACGCTCCCTCCGAATTTTTTTCCGCACGCGTTTTTGGCATTTTAAACGTTTTTTCCATGTTTCGGTTTTCCACCGGTCTTCCTGAACTTTTAGACCATTTTTTTCAAAAAAAGACATTTTTTCGCGAAAAAATGTGTTTTCTTTTTTCCTTTCGCGAGAGTCACGGTTTTGCTTTCGCGAGAGTGACGACTGTGCCTCTCGAAAACGAAAAAAACACGTTTTCTGTTTTTTCTTCCCGCGAAGGCACATTTTTGCTTCTGAGAGGTACGGTTGCGCTCTCGCGAGAGTCACGGCCGTGCCTCTCGGAAAAGAAAAACACGTGTTGTCTGTTTTTTTTCCTTTCGCGAGAGGCACGGTTTTGCTTCCGCGAGAGGCACAGTTATGCTTTCACGAGAGGCACGACCGTGTTTCTCGGAAACGAAAAAAGAACGTGTTTTCTATTTTTTTTTCATGAGAGGCACGGTTTTGCTTCCGCGAGAGCCATGGTTGTGCTTTCGCGAGAGGCACGGCCGTGCCTCCACGGAAACGGAGAAAAACGCGTTTTTTCCTTTCGTGAGAGGCATGGTTTTGCTTCCACGAGAGGCACGGTTGTGGTTTCGCAAGAGGCACGGACGTGCCTCTTTCGAAAAGGGAAAAAACACATGCTCCCGGTTCGGTTTTTTCGTCCGGTTTTTTCGTGAAAAAGTTCGTTATAACCTATGAACATTCGATCTACTTTTGATGAACTCGACGCGAGGAATCCAACGGTGAAAACGGTTCGAGATTTGGACGCACGGTTAAAGAGATAAAACGTTTTGAATAAACGAATATACGAAAAAAGGAAAAACACCCAGGGGAGGTGGGAGTGATCTTTGCAACGAGTACTCCTTAACTAGTGATTTCAGGAGTCGCCTTGGTCAATCAGCCATCGACCGGTCATGTGAGCAAATTTCTTTTTATTTTTGTGTGTTGTCCTATTTCCTTTTTTATATTTTCATCTTTTTTGCTTTAAACTTATTTTTGCCTTTTTTTGCGGATGAACTTTTTTTGGCTTTTCATTCTTGCTTTTTTGCTTTTCTTTTGTTCTTTCTCATTTTGTGTTTTTGCGCTTTTTTATTTTTTTTGTATGCGACAAGACGACGACGTGAGTTATAACTAAGGGCACCACTAGGCATCAGACTACTGATGCTTTGCATGTATCAGACTAATCGTAGACCATTGGATGGAAGCATGATGTCCGCCTGATCTGGTAGCTTAGGCCCGCGTGAGATTAGTTTTTTTTTTTGAGATAGCGTGAGATTAGTTGTAGCCGCTAATTAAGTGCTTCCTAAATGCTCCCGTAACCCACGCCCTCCACGCTCGGGAATCGGGATAGTCTCTCCATCCTCCCTTTATTCCTCCTTCGGACGTTGCTTCCTCGGTGCAAAGTTCTCTCCAGATCAAGGAGATATGGCGCTCCCTCGCACGTTGCTTCCTCGGCGCAAAGTTCTCTCCAGATCAAGGACATGGCGCACCAGGCCCCTGAGGTTGAGTAATCGTAGTTGTGGGTTCTCCAATTCAGTATATCGTCCTGCTTCCACTGATCCAAATTGTTTGTGGACTGTGGCATGGGATTAGTTCAGAAACAAGAGGTGGTGGTGCAGATTGGTCCAATCGGCAGCTTGCAAATCCCCTGATTGTCCATAGTGGCGGCGAACTGAAAAATCAAAGATGATTTGCAGTATTTTCCCATGTTTCTGTAGTCCTTCTCATGTGTATTGGGAGCCGTACGATTTCTGCTGTATCTGAGGCATTGTTTTCATTAGCTCATGGTACCTGCGTTTGACGAGAGAAAATATCAAAATTGTGGCAGACAAGTTTGATGGATGCATTGTTTATTGAGTACCGATGCACTAGCATTTTGTTGTAGAAGCAATGTCCGCTGTCACAATACTGACAAGCATACAGGATTATTCCCTCCCATAGATAATGAATGTGCATACATGAATATGGTTCAGTTTCATTTGTGAAGCATTGGTTTTTGCTAGTTGATGCAGAAAGTTGTGATGAATTTAATTTCGATTAAGAATGGAAGCATTTTACAGTAGGGTGGATAGCAAGACTTATCAGATCATGAAGCATCGAGGGGAAGCTCCCTGGATGGAGAGAGTAGCCGAGACGACAATGGGTTTGCACTAGTAGAAAAAGGCCCATTACCCCCGGTTCTGGAATCGGGACTAATACCCAAAATCTTTAGTCCCGGTTCGCTTACGAACCGGGACACAAGGGGCTCCACGTGGCCGCTGCGGGGTGCCCAGGCAGGAGGATCTTTAATCCCGGTTGGTAACACCAACCGGGACCAAAAGGCTTTCATGCGTCAGTAGCTGGCAGGAGCTGGGAGTTTTTTTTTTGAAGGAGGGGGAGGGAGGGTGGTTTAGGGGTTTCAGAGGGTTAATTTAGGGGTTGCATATTGTGTTAGCTAGCTAATAGAGAGAAGTGACCTCTCTTTATCTCCGTGCTTGGTCGACGCTAGCTACTATACGTATAGAGAGAACTTGACACGCTAGCTAGTAAGCAAATGAAGAAACCATTAATTACACAACACTAGTAGAAAACAGGGCTTTGGTCCAGGCCGGGTCAGCCCAGGGGCGGACCCAGAAACTATTCTAAGTGGGGGCAAACTATGGGAGTGGGGGCATACTTTGTACAAATTCACATAGTTTTGGCAAAAATTTCTGAAATTTCAAAGAAATATCACTGAAGTTTCATATTTTGAGTGGGGTCCTAGGCCCCCACTCCCATGAACGTGGGTCCGCCCCTGGGTCAGCCCATTAGTTCCGGTTCAGTCCAGAACCGGGACCAATGGGGCATTGGTCCCGGTTTGTGAGCCCAGGGGGCCGGCCGGGCCACGTGGGCCATTGGTCCCGGTTCATCTGGACCTTTTGGTCCCGGTTCATCCCACCAACCGGGACCAATGGGCCTCGCTCCTGGCCCACAACCATTGGTCCCGGTTCGTGCCTCAAACCGGGACTAAAGATTAGACCTTTAGTCCCGGTTTGAGG